TTTTTTGCTGGCCTGCTTCATCTTCGCGATCTTCATCGGCACTGAGGACGGCATCTTTTTGAAGCGCCACAGGCACAGTGTGCAGCTACCTACACTACATATAAAAATCAATAAAAAGGAATGATTATAATCCTTATCAAGAATTTATAGCGGCAGCATCTTCTTTTGTACAAGAGAAGACCTTGCTGTTACTCATAGAGGAAGATAGAAGCTATCTTAGGTCAAGCACAACATGGCTTCTGGTTGTATCTATCAAAAGCACGCATTGCCTCCTTTCTCCACCTTTCCTACTACACCTGCTTGGAATTGCGAATAAACAGGCTCCGACAATATATATGCCTTATATATTCAGGTGGAAGCAAGGAACAGACTAGTTTTATCAACAACAACGGCATCGGAGATTTCTGCCGATACGCATAATCGGCTCAGTAACATAGATACTGGAAAGGGCGATGAGGACATCGCAATTGATAAAAACATTCCGAGAGGAAGGAGACTGGGTTTTCGTGTTTCCACAACGGTTTTGAGATTCGGAGAATGAAGAGCCTTCACTTTTTTCAGTTTTTCATCTTTTTTGGGAGCCACGACTGCGAGTTGCGTGAGCTCTCCACGCCTCGCTGGCAAATATCTTCCTACAAAACAGCAAGAGGCTTGGATGTGACAGCCCTTGAGACATGTGTATCCTGTGTGCGGGAGAATGAATGTGCGCCATTGTTTGTGAGAATGCCAAAGCAACGAAGATTCTTCTCCACTGAAGTTTAGTCTCGATTAAATTGCCACCCGGCGTGTCACAGGTGAACCAATGACATCAAATAAAAGCGCAGTCCTGACGAAGCAGGAGATATAATTATATATAATATGGAGTGGCTCAAAAATTTTCAGAGTGTTTCCTTTATGGACAACTACAAGTATGCAGGTAAATATCTTATGAACATGATCATCAAGAAATAGACGCAACAGTGATTCCTTAAAAGCAAAAATAAGAGACATGCATGGTAAAGGATCAAGTAAAAATCAATGGAAGCAAGCAAGAAAATGTGAAGTCTGCGCCTGTATTTTGAAGCGGTAGATGTTACCCGACGATGACGCTACTATATTCCGGAAGATCGATGCCTATGCCTGTGCAGTGTCGATTAGTGCGCAATCTACTTTTCCACCAAGCACAAATGCGTGAACTGTATTCCCAACAAGTTGAAAACTCCTTTTCATTGGCACGCCCCTCTGAATACAATGCAAAGATTGTGAGTCTTCGAATAAACGAAACTAGGCAATATCCTTATTTCAAAGCAACTTACTCCAGCGGGACGTGACTACAACTACTCTACATTACAATGCGCTTCTCGTTCTTCTATCCTATCTCTCACTGGTGGCCAAGAGGACTTACGGGACCGCCCTCAAAAATTCCCTACATCCGATACCACAGCACATTGCTGCAGCGGATGATGGCTCACGTGACGTGCAGCGATCTTTCCATTTCTGCGTAGGGTGGTAGGATTTTGCCGTCGGCAGGCGCCCCTTAGAGATTACTGAATTCTCAACGACTTTTCAGGCTAATGCGCACTAGCGTACCTGCTTGCAGCTGTCTAGTTGTACTGTTTTCAAGAGACCAGGGTAACATTATGGCATTAGTGCCATGCTTTCTTTCATAAGGCAGATCGCACGCCTCCGGTTCTGCTGTGGCTGCAAACTCGCTATGCAGACTACGCACGATCTCCATCAACTCGTTGCATTAGAGGCATCTTGTCTTCCAACAACAAATATCCTCTTTCATCAACTAGTTGTACTCGAAATTTTTTCCACCATGAAGAACGCCTTATTGACGGTTACTGAGAGAAGCAGAAGCAGCAGCAGAAGTTGTACAACCATAAGAATTCTTTTTCTTCTCTGCTGCAAGCTGTTCTTCCAGCGTAGCTTTGGCGCGTTGGGACTCGGCTTTCATTAGACGAGTAGTGTCTTCGAGTCTGAAAAATAATCAATGTCAGAAGATCAAGCCTTAGAAGCTACAGAAGGAGGAGACCTTATTATCCGCATCCCGTCACGATTCGACTTCAGACTAAAAAGCTCTACCCTCAATATCAAAACGCATTACTACCAGAAAAAAATGTCATCCCCCGAGCAGGCCTTAATTTCTCAGCATCGCGCTCTGCCGTGATCTCCTTTACTCGGTCCTGGAGGCCTTTCGCTTGGGATCGCAGGAGGCGAATAGTCTCATTTGCTTTGTCAATCCGTTCGTTTGCCTGCTTGGTAATATTTCGCGTCTCCTGCTGCAGGCGCAATACCTTGATGTGTTGAAACTCTCAGTCTCACACCATTGGCTCCAAGTCCATTCGTTAGACATCATAGTGCTGGTCCAAACGACTGAAGTTAGTGCTACTAGTGGAAACCAATTCCAACTTACCTCCACGATGCATCATTTGTAAAGGTAATAAAGTAGCAGTAGCACAAAGATACATCTTCGCTCGATGTCCCCGTAGGCGGCTCACTGGATCGTCCCACGATTTCTTAGAGGTCGCAAGAGAGATGACTAGAAGGTCTGTTATCAAAGAGGGACAATAAAAGTAAGGTTTGCAAAATCCAATCATTGAACTTAACGCATGAACAACAAGATACACAAATAATTATCGGTGATGAGCTTGATGGATTCACTAACGCTCTACCTCCTTAGTGAGGGCCTTAAGATTCCCGCAATATCTCCATCTCCCCTACCAGCTTGTTCTTAGTGTCCGCCAGCTGAAACTTTTCTCTGTTAGCGTCCTCAAGCGATTCTCTTAATCGGTGCGCCTCGCGTTCAAGGCTTTCACTTTGCTCTGATTTGTTTTGCTTTGATGTTTCCTTTGTGCAGAGACGTCTCCGAGATGCGTACGATACTTCAACTGAAAATGGTTCTTGCTACCGTACTTTCGCAGCACTTTTAGTACGAACTTCATCTGCCATGTAATGCACATAGATTCACGTAGAACAACTATAAGGAAGGCGAATATGAATGACCATTCCAGTAAGAACACATCCCATACATTCAGAATCAGACGAAGTACCTTTGTAAAACTGTGCCAACGCTCGATGCTGTTCCGCTGTTTCCTGCGTGGCGCCAGCGGCTGCTCCAGAGTGGACAACAAATCAAAGAAGAAGGTAATCCCGTGTCTCACGGCTAGAAGAGTGCTTTTGTCATTGAGATTTTCTCTACATCAAACTCAACCATCGTATTCTCATCGCCATAGAGATAATAGACATATCAAAAATGACAAGAGCAGCCCATCTTCATCTAATTCACGGGATCACTGAAAAAAGAGAAACTTTCATCAATCTTTCTTCCTGTGTCTACATCGATTACCAGATCGGGTAGTAAGTCTAG